GGCTGTTTCGTTGTCTGTTGAGGAAGTACAGACGTTCCTCTCGTTGATAGCAGAGGAGCGGATCCAGCGAGAGCTTGATGGGGCAACACGGACTGAAAAAGTTTTTCAGGAGTCGCGGCAGTAGAGGCGGCGCAACTATAACGACATGTGAATAATCCCGCCCACTCTAAAGCGGTACTGAACTGCAGAGGAAACACAAACCGAGCCGTGCCGTACTGTACTGAGCCGAGCCGAGTCGTACCACGCAGTGGAAAAGCGCCATAAATGGCATCTCACACTCTCCCCCTAGTGATTTCTCTCGGCCTCCATTCATGCTGTCAGCGGGGGTCGCTCTGATCTCAGCTCAGTTTGTGTTCTCTATCACATGACTGATCATGTGACTCAGGGCTTATAATCTCTTCTTCTCTACCTTGTTTGTGGTCACAGCTGACGGCGCAGCCCAGAACCAGCTGCAGCAGACGACCCAGTTCAGTCAGGTCCCCCATCTCAGCGATCAGACACACGTCAGGCACGTGCTCATCAGACACCTGCTGACCCAACACCTGACACACACACACACACACACACACACACACGCTACTAGCCAATAACAGTGTCTTTAATAGGTGCTTTTATTAGGCATCTAGTAGTATTATTAATAAAGTACAGACACTTTATTAGTGGTTGAATTAAACACATTGTGAAAAGTTCAAATAGAAAAACAGACCCATTGTACACAAAATGTTTACTTACACACACAAAAATTTTCATATCAAGATTCATAAATGTGTACAATGGGTCTGTGTTATTTTAGCATCACTGATATACTACTAAAGTTTTTGTTAATATTTTGGATTTTATTTTTATATTTTATATTCTCACTTCAATTTTAATTGTGTTTTAATATATAAATGTATCTAAATAATATATACAGCATTTTCATTTTATTTAAATTTTATTCCTTTAGTTTTATGTTGCTGATTAATGTGGTGTGTTATTTTAGTATCAGATATACTTACTACAGTTTTAATATTTTGAACTAGACACACACGCACACGCACACACACACACACACACACATACACATACACATACACACACAGGATGCACAAAACTCCGCATTTGAACAGTCAATAGCAAATACTTAAAACTAATAACAAAACAGTAGCTGATTCAGAAGCGCCAGATTGTCATAGCAAAGTCAGAATTACCTCCTCTCCTAGGTTCACTAAACGGTCGCTCATAAAATGCATTGCTGTTCTGTTGTAAGTGATCTTAAAGATTCCTAAATGCATCTACTTCTGGAAGGCCAAATAAAGTGCTTTTGCTTTCGCCTAGAAACACACAGCGTCTCCCTGACATGGCTGCTTCAACACTAACTGCGGTTACTGAAACCACGCCTTCTTTCTTTGCGTGAACATTTGGGCCGCATTATGCAAATATTCCCACATAGTGAGGTAGATATGTGGGGGCGTGTTAGAACGAGCCGTTTTAGGGGGGGCGTGGCAGAGTCTTAACTTTGATAAAGAATATCTCTTTGGTTTTGAGACTTTAGTCTTTGTAACTTCAGGGATCTTATCTATGCACAATCAGCTTGTAACACTCCAAAGAGAAAGGAAAACTTGAAATCGCATCATATGACCCCTTTAAAATATACGTTCGTTCCCCCTTGCATCCCCTTTATGGGAACCTCTGGTTCAAAGGTACAAATGAAAGCAGCTTTAATAGACTTCAATCACACAAAAACATAACTTACGTCATGATAATACTCCATCATGCCCTGCAGGATCTTCTTGAGGTTGCTGACCTGTCAGAGCACATACGTGTTTACTGAGACACACGCACATCTAGTGTTGTCAAAAGACCCGGTATTTCGGTACCAAGTCGGTACTAAAAAAATGAAAACGTTACGGTACCAGGTTTTCTTAAGTACCGGTGGTACCGTACTTTTATTACTTGTGGAAAAACTTGAAACAATTTTAAATAAGTATAAAGAATGGCATTGGTTTTGTACATTTCATTTTTGTTTAACGTTATTAATAAAAATGTTGTTCAATTAGCATGTTTTTGTGTTTTGCTTTGGTACCGAAATTGGTACCGAGAACCGTGGATTTTCACTGGTATCGGTACCGAATACTGAAATTTTGGTACCTTGACAACACTACGCACATCCAGTATACTGTACAGAAGACATCTTTACTAGAGAGAAAACTAGTGTAACTACAGTAAAGTACCTTCAGCCTCCAGTTTGTGCCGCCATCCTCTTTTATCCTGCTGAGCCACGTCTCATTAAACCAGGACGAATCTCTGACGGACACAAATAGAACAGAAACGCTCTTAAAACACAAAGCCAACACAATTTTAACATGCATCATGAAGGAAAATGTTTGTTAGTGGTCATCATGAGGGCTAGAGAATGATAACTATTCACTATCAGCTGTCGTATTTGACAAAGTGCATGCGTGTCAGTGGTTTGACGGTGTTTCAGGCATCCGGCGCAGCTTTTACATGGATAGCTGACGTTCCTTCATCAACATCTGCAGAAAGTCACACCCGCTCATTACTCTCACATTTTGTTGAGCACATGTGCGATGGCCACGCCGCTGGTCAGCTCATCTTTGCTCGCGCACGACGGCACCTGAAACGTCTGCAGCTGAAACACAAGGACAGAAAGCGACAGAAAATTAGTCAAAACGCAGACATGAAAATTGTATATATATATATATAAAAAACTTGTTGTTTATGTTTAAACATATTTCTTTACATTAGTTTTTGATCAGGAATGAGTGCTGAGGTATTGTCGTTGTAGTTACTCGTCTGGGTTAGTCTTGTATGGCGTGTATTTTTGTTTTTTCATGGGTATTAAGATTGAATTCATTATTGTAATTATTATTTTTAATTGATTTCATTGTACAGCACTGTGGTCAAATTTGTTGTTTTATATTGTGCTTTATAAATAAAGTTGGAGTTTAGGGTCTAAAATAAATAAGGAAAAATATATTAAAATAAATGTTAAACATTTATTAAAATAAATTAATTAAAAAAAAAAATTTATTATAAACATGCATTAAAATAAATTAATTAAACAACAAAATAGGGCTGCACGATTATGACAAAAATCATAATTGTCGATTATTCCTTTGGAATTGTAATTGCGATTATTAATTTATGATTAAATTAATGATGTTTACACCTTTGTTTGAAGCAACCGCATGCCATATTTTTATATGAAAATAAACAAGCTGAAAACACTAACTGAATAACTTTTAGTGCTTTTCTATAGTATTAAGCCTCAAATGTCAACTATACATCGGATTGGTTTCTCTTTAAATAAAAAGGTAAAAATATGCATGGTATTATAATGTTATACTAAAACTAAAATTAAAACAATTGAAAAAAAAAGCATCTTAAGCGTGCAGAATAACATAAGTGGACTTTGAACGATTAATTGCTGCTTTGAACGATTATGTAATTGTGATCGCGATTAGAAATTCGAATAATTGTGCAGCCCTACAACAAAATGAATAAAAATGATTAAAGTAAACATAAAAATGCATGTGTATGTATTACAGTTCATGCCTACTTTGATATATTAGACAGTTTAGCTCAAAGTAATATCTGTGTACCGAGTAGTTGGGACAGAAAAACATTAAAAGACTGTGATGAGAGGAAAACAGGATATGCATTTAATTAGTTATTTATTCTAGTTCACAGCAGTGTGTCTCAATAATGAGATCAAAACCACTACGTTTACTGCGGTAAATAAAGTCATGGTTTGCTCCTCAACTGCGAGGGACATTTGTATTTTATTTGAGTAGGTTATCGACTTCATCGTTTTGAACTCGTATAATCAGCCTGAACTCATTTCAGGACCTTTGGTCAGTTACATAATGAGCATGCGATTAATCGTGCAGCCCTAACTAAAACTAAAATTAAAACAATTGGAAAAAAAAAGCATCTTAAGCGTGCAGAATAACATAAGTGGACTTTGAACGATTAATTGCTGCTTTGAACGATTATGTAATTGTGATCGCGATTAGAAATTCGAATAATTGTGCAGCCCTACAACAAAATGAATAAAAATGATTAAAGTAAACATAAAAATGCATGTGTATGTATTACAGTTCATGCCTACTTTGATATATTAGACAGTTTAGCTCAAAGTAATATCTGTGTACCGAGTAGTTGGGACAGAAAAACATTAAAAGACTGTGATGAGAGGAAAACAGGATATGCATTTAATTAGTTATTTATTCTAGTTCACAGCAGTGTGTCTCAATAATGAGATCAAAACCACTACGTTTACTGCGGTAAATAAAGTCATGGTTTGCTCCTCAACTGCGAGGGACATTTGTATTTTATTTGAGTAGGTTATCGACTTCATCGTTTTGAACTCGTATAATCAGCCTGAACTCATTTCAGGACCTTTGGTCAGTTACATAATGAGCTGTGTAAAGCACTAATAAAGTCGCCGGAGTGATACACGAGCGTATAATCCACAGAAAACGAAAATAAGTCATAAAGTCGGTCAAACGCGATGATAATCCACCTGCTGCTAACAGGCTAGCGCGCTAGCAAACAAACTACTTCATTCTCGCTGAACACCGGCGGGCGGACACGCTCTAATATCACTGTCAGCGAGCGGAACGCCTTTATTTCTTACCCAGATGAATAAAGAGTCGCTCAGTCGGTGTTTATTGAGGCTCATGGTGGTTCGTGCTGCTACACACACACACACACACACACACACACACACACAGGCTGCGCTGCTAAAGGAGCGCACACGAACTGGACACGCATACTGTAGTAGGCGCGGTCGCCATAGCAACAACTACGCGCGCTCTACATATTTAAATTAAATGCGTAAATAATTAATGTATTTAAATATGTAATAAAAAAAAACAAAACAAATGGGTGGTTTACAAATTTAAATGAGGGGTTTACCCAGAAATTAAAATTGTGTCCATTTACTCACCCTCAAGTTTCTGCTAAATGACTAAAAGTAAAAGTAAAAGTCAAACCTGTATGAGTTTCTTTCCTCTGTTGAACACAAAAGAAGATATTTTGAAGAATGTTGGTAGCGTTAAACAAACAGGTGCCGGAAGCTATGGAAGCCCGTTCCCTCCACTGAATAAAAAATAAAAAATAAAGTTTATTGCGGCGTTGTATCTCACAATTCTGATTTTTTTCTCTCGCAAATGCGAGTTTTATCTCGCAATTCTGACTTTTTACTGGCAATTGTGAGATATAACCTCGCTATTGCGTGTAAAGCCAGAACTGCGAGACATAAACTCAAAATTTTGAGAAGTCAGAATTGTGAGTTTATATCATGCAATTCTGACTTTATAACTCGCTATTGTGAGTTTATATCTCACAATTCTGAAAAAAAAAAAAAAAAAAGAAGTCAGAATTGCGAGATAAAAAGTCGCACTTACCTTTTTTTTCCAGTGGCTGAAACGGCCTTCCATACATTGACTTTTCATACTATGGAAGTCAGTGGGGACCAGCAATTGTTTGGTTACTCATACTTGGCCTACTTATTTTTCTATCACGCTTACATTTCCATCATATATAATAGATTTTGTTGTAGGCTAATTAAGTTAATATGGTCTGTGTCCAGCCGTTCCTAAATGTAGAGAATTCATTAAAATTACAAAATTGTAAAAAATGTTTTTAAAAGTCAAAAAAAAAAAAAAAAAAAAAAAAAACCATCCAAAACAAAACGCAGATCTGTTGTGTGACCACTAGATGGAAGCAGCCAATAGCCAAAGTGAACAGATTTAGTGTTCTTTTTTATTATTATTTACTTTACTTTACTTTTACTTTTAGTCATTTAGCAGACGCTTTTATCCAAAGCGACGTACAAATGAGAAAAAGTAATTAAAACTAAAAGCTAAAACTCTATAAATACTATGTATATATATACACACATTTAAGAAAATAAAAGAAATTAAATAATAATGACAAATGCATACAACTAAAAACATAAATAAAGCTAAAAACAATTCAAAATATGAAAACAAAAGGTATGAGTATAATAATGATTCGAACATAACATTAAGCCAAACACCAAAAAAAAAAAAAAAAACTACATATGAGAAGTGAAACAAGTAGTAGGAAAGAGGAGACATACAAAGCGATACTTATTTATTTTTATTATTATTATTATTAAACACTTTCTTATACAAAAGTGAAGAAGCCAAGAAAGGAAAAGAGCCGAGGGTTCAAGGATGGCCAAACAATACATAGCAATTAAAATTCAGGAGAGAGAGAGAGAGAGAGAGCGAGAGAGAGAGAGCGAGAGAGAAAGAGATAGAGAGAGAGAGAGAGAGAGAGAGAGAGAGAGAGAGAGAGAGAGCGAGAGAGAGAGATAGAGAGAGAGAGATAGAGAGAGAGATAGAGAGCGCGAGAGAGAGAGAGAGAGAGAGAGCGAGAGAGAGAGAGAGAGAGAGAGAGAGAGA